TGTCAAATATTAATTGAGCATAATGGCTTGGGTCAATTTCTGGGTTCTCTGTTCTGTTTCACTTGTCTATATATCTGTTCTTGTGCCAGTACCAGGCAGTTTTGAGAACAGTGGCTTTGTAATATAGCGTGATATCTGGTATTTTGATCCCTCCAACTTTGTTCTTCTTTCTCAAGATTGCTATAGCTATTCAGGGTCTTTTTTTATTCCATGTGAATTTTTGGAGAGTTTGTTCTAGGTCTGTGAATTTTAATGGGGAGTGCATTAAAATTGGTATCTTAATGGAGAGTGCATTGAATCTATAGATTGCTTTGGGTAGTATGGACATTTTAATGATGTTGATTCTACCAATCCATGAACATGGGATAGTCTTCCATTTGTTTGACTTTCTCTATCTCTTTTTCAATGTCCTATAGTTTTCCGAGTACAGGTCTTTTAGTTCCTTAGTTAAGCTTTTATCCCGAGGTATCTTAATTTTTTTGGTGCAGTGATAAAAGGGATTTTTTGTTTGTTTGTTTCTCTTTCTGTGAGTTCATTATTGGTGTATAAAAAAGCCATAGATATCTGGGTGTTAATTTTGTATCCAGCTACATTGCCAAATTCATTTATTAAATCTAGTAGTTTTCTTATGGAGTCTTTATGGTTTTCTTTGTACAATATCATGTCATCTGTGAATAATGAACAGTTTTAGTTCTTCTTTTCCAATTTGGCTGCTTTTATTTCTTCTTCTTGTCTGGTCACTATGGCTAGCATTTCCAGTACTATGTCAGAGAGGAGTGGTGAGAGTGAGCATCCCTGTCTTGTTCCTGTTCTTAGGGGAAATGGTTTTAGCTTTTGCCCATTAAGTATGATGTTGGCGGTAGGGTTGTCATATAAAGATCTATATATATAAAAGCCTAAGAGACTGTTCGACCGGTAGCTATGACACGCACTGACCACCAGGGGGCAGATGCTCAACACACAGGCATGGAAACAGACTGATGAATCTCAGAGGGAAGGGAGTAGGGGGGAGGGTAGGAAGAGATTAACCAAAGATCTTATATGCATACTAGAGGCCTGATGCATGAATTTGTGCACTGGTGGGGTCCCTTGGCCTGGCTGCAGGAATTGGGCTGAAAATGGCAGTCCGACATCCCCTGAGGGATCCTGGATTGGGAGAGGGCACAGGCCAGGCTGAGGGACCCCACTGGTGCACAAATCCATGCACTGAGCCTCTAGTTTTATTATATTGAGGTATGATCCCTCTATTCCTACTTTGAGAGTTTTTATCAGGAAAGGGTGTTGGATTTTGTCAAATGCTTTTTCTCCATCAATTGATATAGTTATGTGATTTTTATCTCTCAGTTTGTTTATATGATATATCACTTTTATGGATTTGCGGATATTGTACCAGCCTGCATCCCTGGAATAAATCCCACTTGGTCATGGTGTATGATCTTTCTAATGTAATGCTGGATCAATTTGCTAGAATTTTGTTGAAGATTTTAGCATCTATGTTCATCAGAGATATTGGCCTGTCATTCTCTTTCCTTGTCGTGTCTTTATCTGGTTTTGGGATTAGGGTGATGCTGGTTTCATAGAAAGAGCTTGGAAGTGTTCCTTTCTCTTGAGTTTTTTGGAATAGTCTGAGGAGGTTTTAGTTCTTCTTTGCATGCTTGGTGGAACTCCCCTGTGAAGCTGTCTGACCCAGGGCTTTTGTTTGCTGGAAGTTTTTTTTATTAAACTCCTCTTTATTTTTATAAATAAATTTCTTGGCCCTTGTACTCTAATTAAAAATATTATAAGCATAGTTTATTAAGATAATATCATTTTTGAAGATGTTGAATATTTAAAAATTTATGTGATTGTGATTACATGGATTATTGTATTAGGTTTCCTGATATTTATCTATTCTTATGTTCCTGTAAAGCATGATTAGGTTAATAAATTGCTAAATTTTATTTATAAAGTAATGGCTCTCTAATGTGTATGTCTGTCAGTTTTGAAAACAGAGTTTTGCTAACTTTATATTAATGACTTGGAATTTATTCGATCTTTTTTGTGTTTTGGGACAGTTTCACAGGATGGATTCTTTTTTTTTTTTTTTTAAATTTTTTTTTTTTATATATATTTTATTGAATTTTTACAGAGAGGAAGGGAGAGAGACAGAGAGTTAGAAACATCGATGAGAGAGAAACATCGATCAGCTGCCTCCTGCACATCTCCCACTGGGGATGTGCCTGCAACCCAGGTACATGCCCTTGACCGGAATCGAACCCGGGACCCTCCAGTCCGCAGGCCGACGCTCCATCCACTGAGCCAAACCGGTTTCGGCCACAGGATGGATTCTTACTTCACTCATGAAACCTTTCAGTGTGGTAGACTGATTGGTTTGTCTCATTTTTCTTGAGTCCAGTTTGGTGATTGATTTTATCAACAGTCATCTCCTGACAGATGATCTTTTGACATTAGACTGCACGCAGCGTTGGCTAGCATTTTGTCTTCTCTGCATCTGTGGTGACGCTGCTTTGCCAGTTCTTATGCTGTGCATCTGCGTCTGTGTGTTCTTGGGTTAACTTTTTAGAGGTTCATCTCTTTTGTTTTGTCTTTTCAAAGAATTGTTTAGTTTTTTGCTTTATCATTTCTGTCAGGTTTTTTCTTTAAGAGTCACTAATTTTTGTTTTTGTTTTATCCATCCTCCCATTTTCCTGATTCAGCAGATTGCGTGACTGCTGGGTTTGATCCCAGCCTTTCTGAGGTGTGAAGAGGGGTGTTCCTCGTGTGGTCTGAGCACTGCTGAGAGCCATGGTGCGCTCAGATCCCTTGTATCTTAATTGTAAAATTTTTGTTTTCTTTAATGTTTTTTCTCTTCAGATCTGTCACACTCTAAGAGGCAGTGGTCAGGTCCCCTGAAGGCTGTGGCTAGGCCACTTTGTCACTGTAGCACTCAGGGCTTTGCTTTCCTGTCTCGTGGTGCTTTTTTAGTAGGTCAAGGTTCATGGCTCTTCTTTCTTTATGTTGTTTCCTTTAAAATAGAAAATATCCCTCTTTTTCCTGTTCATTTCTTTTTGTTTGATATTTATCTTTCTTATCCTGCCCTGTTTTTGTTTGCATTTCCTTGGTATATCTTCGATAAGTCCCATAATGTTTTTGCTGTATTTACCCACTGGCAGGTCTAGCTGCTAATTACCCACTGTCGTATGGAGACCCCTGGCATGTTTTGCTTGTTTCCCCTACAGTGATTTGCTAGTTCTATAATCTTATTTCTTTTTTTCATATTCATGCCAGAGTAGCAAATATGAATCAGTAAGTGGGCATAAATGGTTTACAAATGTATTTTTCTCTTGCGGTTAAGAAATTAAACTATATCAATCACCTAAGCCCCATTCTACCGTTGGACAGGGTAAGATTTTTAGTACACTTTTATTTTCCCTTATTGTCACTCAAGGTTTTGGTAAACTAAATTGGAATTATAATAACACTTAATATATCCCTTTTTATGTTTTAAATCCTTCTTAATTATTGTTTTAATAATTTATTTTAAGAACTAGAGTGTATATTACATGTAATTTTCTCTTAAAATTCTTTTTCTTTTATGGTAAAGTAAGAGGCAATGTTGCGTAACATTCAGTTAATTAGCTTTAGAGTTGGCTGCCTTTCTGTATTCAAACCCTGACCCTACCACTTCTCAGCTGTGTGACCTGATGTGTTATTTACGGTCTCTAAGCTACAGTTTCCTCATCTGTGAAGTGGGGGTTAGTACTGGGGCCTCTGTCCTCTCTCAGGGTTGCCTGGAGCATGCTGTCTGTGATGAGCTTTCCGGCCCCAGGTCTGCGGGCTCACCGTGTTCTCTGGGTGACTGCAGCCCTGCGCTGGCCCACTGTACCAGGCCCACCTCCTGCTGCTTTATGCTCTGCCCCTGCCTGTCTGAGGTGGAATTTCTTTTCCTCTCAAGCATGACTGCTACTTTGGATTAGTGCAGAATTCCCAGGTCACTGCTTTCCCCTTGAAATATGGAAAGATTTTCCAGTTGTTTTCTGATCAGGTCCATGGCCTCCCCGGCTCTGCTGGCACAGACTCAAAGCCGCGGTCTTCATTGGTCTTCCTGGTCCCTGCTCCTGGGCCGTCATTGGTACTTGGAGATGCTTATCGAATTGAAGGGATCTCCCGCCCCCCTCCTACTGGGGACCGAGCCTGCAACCCGGGCCTGTGCCCTTGACCAGGAATGGAACGTGACCTCCTGGTTCCTAGGTCGATCTCAACCACTGAGCCACGCTGGCCGGGCTGTTTTCTGAAAATTTTAATGTTGCATAAAAGATACCACAGTTAGTCTTTCCTCTGAAGGAAATCTTTTCTCTTTTTTTGTTCTAACTAAAAACTACAGTAGTTTCTCTTACTTTTCTTTATTTTTGGAATTTGGACATCTAGTAGGTATTTGCATAGGTCTATATCTTTTTTCAGTGTATCCTTCCACCTGACACTCTTGGGTGCTTTGCTTTCTAGACCCAAGTCTCTCCTCAGATTTTTTCCTACTTTAAAAAAAAATGATTACTTTTATATCCTTTCGACTCTATTCTCCTGGAATTCATGCCATAAATTGTTAGAACTCCTGGATTTGTTTATCTTGTCCCGTTGGCTTTTCTCTCATTTTCTAGCTTTTGTATTAAAATAAATCATTTTCCATATACCTTGTTGTTTTAAGTTTAACAAGGATTGACACAAAGGAGGTTTTGGAAAAATAAAAATTGAGTAAGTGTATGTTATAATTTTTTGTAGTCTTCTTTTGAACCCCTTCCCCCAGTAATGGCTATGTTAGTGCTTGCTACTTACAGATGAATGAAACATGCAGTAACCTTCCATTGCTGCTAATGTAGAACTACAGTTGTCTGTATTGTGTTTGTATACATATTTATAAAGTTCTTTAGATTGCACAGTGATTGGAAGATTGTCATTTTAAGAGTCATGCTTATATAATTTAACTTTTATTTAAAACTTGCTTTTTCATTTTATTATCAATTTAGGAGAAACTAATTCGAGATATTGCTCATTGTCATGGAATTTTGATCACTTCTTACTCCTACATCCGACTGAGGCAAGATGATATTAGTAGGCATGACTGGCACTACGTGATCTTGGATGAGGGACACAAAATTCGAAATCCAAATGCTGCCATCACCCTTGCTTGCAAACAGGTATGACCTCTTGGAACAAGGGGGATTGCCAGGTGGGTAATAATATTTAATTGAGAATAAACTCCTTGATTTTAGTAACACATTTACTAAATCTTTCCTTGTGCTTTTGCATATGGGATTTGAAATACACATTTAGCTTTAATACAGACAGTTCTTCTTGCTCTTAGTCATGTTTTTTAAAGAATTCTAATTGTTCATATTAATATCCTTTTAGCCATCATTTGTTAAAATGTAATCAAATCTAACTCAAATCCATAGTATTCAGGTAGAACAATAAGAAATAATTCTCCCCTTATGTAATTGAAGAATTAAATAAAATGTCTTCTGTGTTTTGGAAAGACCAAAATGATATGTAAATGTGTTAAAGAACAAAATAGAGTGGGAGTGTTTTGGGGTAGGGTCGGTGATCATCTGTTAAAAGCTGTATTTAATAAGAAAATATTTTCTTCCCCGAAATAGTTCCGCACCCCTCATCGCATCATCTTGTCTGGCTCTCCGATGCAGAATAACCTCCGTGAGCTGTGGTCGCTCTTTGACTTTGTCTTCCCAGGGAAGTTGGGCACGTTACCTGTGTTTATGGAGCAGTTCTCGGTCCCCATCACCATGGGGGGATATTCAAATGCCTCCCCAGTACAGGTAACACTGTTAGCATTTCTAGATTTCATTATTATACTTTGTACCCAAGCTGTTTAGAAATAAGGGCAAGAGCCAAGCCTATAAATTGGTATCTGATAAAAATCACAAAATTATGTTTGCTTAATAGCTCATATTTTTCCAGATGATTTTTTAAAAATCATGTAAAATAGTTGAGAGCAGTTAAATTATGAAACGAGTGAATCAGTTCTGGACAGCATATAATTTAGTGCAAATTGGGGTAGTACATATTATAAAGTAGTATAAAGTCTTAGAAAGGGGAAACCAGAGAGAACTGTTCAGGGAAGACTTAATGAGACAAGGTATCCCTTATCCTGATTCTGGGAAAACAGCCCAAGAACAAGGCAACAGCCACCTTATGTGGCCATGGGCAGTGAAGAGACACACTTCATTGGACTGGAGATGCTTGTGGGGAAGCACCAGGAAAGCTGTGGGTTCCGGAAAAAGGAGCCTTGAAAGGGAGGCAGAGGCGCTCAGGTAAGGAAGAGCCAACAAGGCAGTCTGAGCGGAGATGGGAGAGGGCTGTCCTCGCAGGTACCAGGCTGCAGGTGAGTATTCAGGCTGCAGGTGGGTTCTCAGGCTGCAGGTGGGTATTCAGGCTGCAGGTGGGTTCTCAGGCTGCAGGGGGGTACTCAGGCTGCAGGTGGGGACTTAGGCTGCAGATGGGTACTCAGGCTGCAGGGGGGTATTCAGGCTGCAGGCGGGTTCTCAGGCTGCAGGGGGGTACTCAGGCTGCAGGTGGGGACTTAGGCTGCAGATGGGTACTCAGGCTGCAGGGGGGTATTCAGGCTGCAGGCGGGTTCTCAGGCTGCAGGGGGGTACTCAGGCTGCAGGTGGGGACTTAGGCTGCAGATGGGTACTCAGGCTGCAGGGGGGTATTCAGGCTGCAGGCGGGTTCTCAGGCTGCAGGGGGGTACTCAGGCTGCAGGTGGGGACTTAGGCTGCAGATGGGTACTCAGGCTGCAGGGGGGTATTCAGGCTGCAGGCGGGTTCTCAGGCTGCAGGGGGGTACTCAGGCTGCAGGTGGGGACTTAGGCTGCAGATGGGTACTCAGGCTGCAGGGGGGTATTCAGGCTGCAGGCGGGTTCTCAGGCTGCAGGGGGGTACTCAGGCTGCAGGTGGGGACTTAGGCTGCAGATGGGTACTCAGGCTGCAGGGGGGTATTCAGGCTGCAGGCGGGTTCTCAGGCTGCAGGGGGGTACTCAGGCTGCAGGTGGGGACTTAGGCTGCAGATGGGTACTCAGGCTGCAGGGGGGTATTCAGGCTGCAGGCGGGTTCTCAGGCTGCAGGGGGGTACTCAGGCTGCAGGTGGGGACTTAGGCTGCAGATGGGTACTCAGGCTGCAGGGGGGTATTCAGGCTGCAGGCGGGTTCTCAGGCTGCAGGGGGGTACTCAGGCTGCAGGTGGGGACTTAGGCTGCAGATGGGTACTCAGGCTGCAGGGGGGTATTCAGGCTGCAGGCGGGTTCTCAGGCTGCAGGGGGGTACTCAGGCTGCAGGTGGGGACTTAGGCTGCAGATGGGTACTCAGGCTGCAGGGGGGTATTCAGGCTGCAGGCGGGTTCTCAGGCTGCAGGGGGGTACTCAGGCTGCAGGTGGGGACTTAGGCTGCAGATGGGTACTCAGGCTGCAGGGGGGTATTCAGGCTGCAGGCGGGTTCTCAGGCTGCAGGGGGGTACTCAGGCTGCAGGTGGGGACTTAGGCTGCAGATGGGTACTCAGGCTGCAGGGGGGTATTCAGGCTGCAGGCGGGTTCTCAGGCTGCAGGGGGGTACTCAGGCTGCAGGTGGGGACTTAGGCTGCAGATGGGTACTCAGGCTGCAGGGGGGTATTCAGGCTGCAGGCGGGTTCTCAGGCTGCAGGGGGGTACTCAGGCTGCAGGTGGGGACTTAGGCTGCAGATGGGTACTCAGGCTGCAGGGGGGTATTCAGGCTGCAGGCGGGTTCTCAGGCTGCAGGGGGGTACTCAGGCTGCAGGTGGGGACTTAGGCTGCAGATGGGTACTCAGGCTGCAGGGGGGTATTCAGGCTGCAGGCGGGTTCTCAGGCTGCAGGGGGGTACTCAGGCTGCAGGTGGGGACTTAGGCTGCAGATGGGTACTCAGGCTGCAGGGGGGTATTCAGGCTGCAGGCGGGTTCTCAGGCTGCAGGGGGGTACTCAGGCTGCAGGTGGGGACTTAGGCTGCAGATGGGTACTCAGGCTGCAGGGGGGTATTCAGGCTGCAGGCGGGTTCTCAGGCTGCAGGGGGGTACTCAGGCTGCAGGTGGGGACTTAGGCTGCAGATGGGTACTCAGGCTGCAGGGGGGTATTCAGGCTGCAGGCGGGTTCTCAGGCTGCAGGGGGGTACTCAGGCTGCAGGTGGGGACTTAGGCTGCAGATGGGTACTCAGGCTGCAGGGGGGTATTGAGGCTGCAGGTGGGTTCTCAGGCTGCAGGTGGGTTCTCAGGCTGCATTGAGGGCCCTGCAGGACCCCTGGGCGTGAGGGTAGTGAGGACTTGGGCCTGGACCTGGACCTGGACCTCGACCTGGGTGGAAATGCTGAGAAAGAAAGTGGTGAGCAGGGCCCCTGATGGCAATTTTTTATGCAGAATAAATGAGATATGGAGGCTGCTCAGATAAAGGGAATGGGATAGGTGGTGGTGAGCTTGCTTCTGAGCCCTGAGATTTTAGGCCTGGGTGACTGGGAGAATGGGGTTGTCACAGGCAAGGATAGCAGGACGGGAAGCCGACCTGAGGGCAGGCTCCATCCTGAGTGAGAGGCAGAGCTTCTGCACAACCCTCAGGGGCGGCCTGAGCCTCGACAGAAAGCCTTTCACCGAACGACGTTCACATGTTTTTGAAATACTTGATTAGAAATAGAATTTTAGATCTTTACAATCAGAGGATTGTCAACAACAATTTTAATACCTTTTACATCTTGAAATTGAATGATTTTTAATTAACTTTTGTAAGGGCTCTCTTCCACTGAATCCTTATTATTCTTCATTTATAGTGGTTTTTTATTTAGAAATAATTTCTTCTAAAAAATACGCCTTTATTGATTTCAGAGAGAGAGGAAGGGAGATGGGGAGAGAGCTAGAACCATCAATGATGAGAGGAAATCATTGATTAGCTGCCTCCTGCACACCCCCTTACTGGGGATTGAGCCTGCAATTCAGGCATGTGCCATGACCTAGAATTGAACCGTTACCTCCTGGTTCATGGGTAGGTGCTCACCATTGAGCAACACTGGCTGGGCTAGAAATAATTTCAAGTTTAACAGAAATTAGAAAGAATTACATGCTCTTTACCTAGATTCACTAGTTGTTCGTATTTAGCTAACGTTTTGCCATATTTGCTCTTTCTTCCCTTCCCTCCCCCCCCACCTCTGTCTGCACAGATTATGTTTGTTTCTGAATCATCGGAGAACAAGTTGCAGATGATGCTCTTTCCTCTAAACCCTTCAGTGTGTATTTTTTAAGAACAAGGACATTTTCTTAACAGAACCACAGCATAAATATTAGAGGAGGAAATATGATATTGATACAATTTTGTTGTCTAACGTGTATGTCATTTACATTTTGCCAGTTCTGGTAGTATCTGTGTCTTTTTAATCTCCTTTAATTTTGTATAGTTTCTTTACCTTATGCCTTTTGATGACCTTGACATTTTTGAAGACCACAGGCCTGTTATTTTATAGAATGTGCCTCACTTTGTGTTTGTCTTTCATTCTTTGTGATTGGATTCAGGTTTTGCATTTTTGGCAAAAATATCACAGAAGATAAACACACATACATGCACATACATATATACATACTTGAGGTGTTCTTAGGGTCTTTTAAATTTTTTCTTTTTTTACCATGTTAAGTTTGTAACATGAATTTTTCTGTATTATGATCAACCTCTTATTCATTTTGCAGCTAACTTTCTTAAATTTCAACTTAGTTAGAATTTTTTTTCCATTAAATAGTAATTCACTAGGTTGTTAAGCCTATGTAGACTTTTTTTAATATCAATAATTTATTGAATTCTTTGCCTTTAAATGAAATGCAGAGTGGTTTCTGTGCTGTGGGTCTTTGTTTTTCTACATAGTTAATACCATCTCATGTGGCTGCTCCATTACAGAGCCATATGCTCCGTGGTAGGCCTGACTGACCTTTCATTTCTGGGATCATAGGGCTTGTCTTGAACTCACTCTCTGAAGTCTCCAAAGGGCAGTAATCTCTGCTGATTATCTGGCTGCCTCCACTGCTGCAGCTTCCCCCCTGGTTGCCTTTTGATCTTCAGCTTGCAGAGTAGCCGTTCTCTTGTAGCTTTTGGAGAATATGAGATTGTAAGTAGAGATTTGTTTGCAAGCAGTTTTTTCCCTAGAGGATTGTTGGGAACCAAATAAATCTCCATTTTAGGGTTTGACTATACAGTAATAATTAAAGCAAAGTATAGAAAAGAAATAGGGTACAAAATTACAAGCTGTTCTTTTGCTTGCACATTTTGGTTAATAAGATGTGTTTTTTACTGATATTATGAAAACTCTTACCTCCTGGAACATATTGTATAATCATTGGTCATTCTTTTGAAAATTCTTTTTTCAAGCATTGGAATCGAGAGTTAGAAACAAATACATTCCTTAAACACAGTAATTGTGTCTTCTTTTGTCTTACTAAAGGTTAAAACTGCTTATAAGTGTGCGTGTGTCTTACGAGATACCATAAATCCATACCTTCTGCGGAGAATGAAGTCAGATGTCAAGATGAGTCTTTCTTTACCGGATAAAAATGAGCAGGTCTGTAAATCCAGGAGTTGCCAAAATATTCCTAAAGCGCAGTGTACCTGTCCGTCACTCTCCATTTCAGGTGCGGAATTGGTGAGGGTAATAGGCGTGGTCGCAGGGGCTGTGGTCAGGCTGTATGTACAGGTGTGTGGCAGGTGAGTCTGCAGTGGCATCTGCCCTCAGCAGGACTCCTCCTGTGGTCCACAGTTTTAGATCTCTTATTAAGCCATGGATTCCTGCAGCTACTTTTTCTAAACTTCTCTATTTCCCAAGTCCTCAATTCATTCGTGCTATAAATTGTGTTCGGTGCCAGTCACATACCTGGGAGTTAGCAGTGAATGAAGCAAACACTTGTTCTCACGGAACTCACATTCATTCTTGAGGAGAGACAGCCACAAAGACATACATCAGGTGGCAGGTGCTAGTAAGTGTGGAGATAAAGATGAGGCAGGGTATGGAGGTAGGAGTGATGAGGGCAAGGATTTGGGGAAGCAGACTTTTATAAGGGAAGTGGAGAAGACCTCTAATAAAGTGTCATTTGAACAGAGGCCTAAAGAAGGTGAAGGAGGGACTTATAGGGGATTTGGGAGGAAGAGCATTCTAGGCAGATGGAAAGTGGGGGTTCGTTCAAGGAGGCCAATGTGGCTGGGGGGCAGGAGCAAGGAGAGGTCTCAGTGGAAGAAGTCAGATTGCTGGCCAGATCACCAGGGCCACTGGGCATGGGGAAGACTTGAGAGGAAACTCACAGGAAGATACTGAGAGGGGAGTGACATCATCTGATTTAGGCTTTTGAGGGATCATCCTTTTAAATTTCATCCTAGTGTCCTATTCTCTGAATAGATGACCACCCTTCTGTTCAGCATCTAAAAATAAATCCCTTGTAGATGTTGAGTGTTGAAACTCTAACGGATCTGGGAGATTGGTCATCAAGGCTACTTTCATGGCTGCCTCTTCCCTTCCCAGCAGAACTCATCTCCAGCTTTAGTCGTGGTCTTAGCTCTCCCCACAGGTCACCCGCCCCTGCCGGCCGCTCAGGCCACAGCCCTCTGACTGCCTCTGAGTCCCCATCAGCCACTTGCTGTGGTGATTCATTCTTTCCTCTGCTTCACATCCTCATAAGTCAGTGGGGTTGTCCGATGGCCTGCTCGTCGGCACTCCCCAGTCCTCTCAATATTGCAGTGTTGCTGGATAGCTTCGATATCCCTCTCCCCACCAGAAATACCGATTTAGCTTATTTGCAACACTTTATTTTTACTATGGAATCCTAGAATGCTTCTTCTTGTATTCCATACAGTAGCCAACGCAAATTGCTTCCGATTTTTTAAAAACGCCCCACTTTTCCTCCCATTTTGCACCTGAGACCCCTCTGCCTGAAGGTGTTCCCACCCCTCTGCAAGCGCACACACAGAGGTTCCACTTGGGGACCTCACTAGGCTCCGCTGGAGCCTCTCCTAGACTGGACTCCGAGATCGGGATTTTGTCTTTCCCATCTTCGGGTTCCGCATGGCACCCAGAACAGTGATTTGCAGACGCTAGGTACCTGGTGAATAACTTGTTCAATTAACTTGCGATTGAGAGGGGAGGCTTTTCTGTTGCCATTTTTAAAGGGCTGAAATGTGAATTTAAGAAATTAAGAATTATAAACACTCGGGTTCTGTTTTAGAAGAATTACTCAAGTGGTGTTTGCAAACATTGGAGAGGAAAGAAAGTGGAGGAAGGGGATGAGTCAGCCTGCAGAGTCCGTGGGAGCAGAGGTGTGGGCCTGACCTGAGGCAAGGGGGCATCGTGGGAGGTGAGCTTCCCAGCATGTGGTGGCTAGGATGGAGCAAGCCCTGAGCACCTGGTCCTGAGCTCTCCTGTGAGCAGGAGGCCAGTCTTCAGGGACTCTCAGGACAGTGGGTGGGCACCAGGAGGTGGACAGAGGACAGAAATAGGGGTTGAGGAGAGGAGGGAACTGGACTCATTGTTCAGTTCTGAGATGTGGCTTCATTTTGTTTTTTAAACAAGAGATACATTGTTAAAATTGCATACATTGTACTGTTGGATTAGGAAATTTCATTGATACTGTAATTATTTTATTCTGTTAAAATGTTTTTTGAAATTATAGTTTTTTTGTTTTATTTTCTCCCCCATAGGTCTTATTTTGCCGTCTTACAGATGAGCAACATAAAGTCTACCAAAATTTCATTGATTCCAAAGAAGTTTACAGAATTCTCAATGGAGAGATGCAGGTCAGTTAAGTGAGAGAAGCTGGAGAAAGGAAGGGAAGCGGGAAAGAACGGATACCAGCACCAGTCAGGGTTCACTGTCGCTCACTCTCTCTCTTTTTTTATTTTTGTTTGTTTAATCCTCACCTGAGGATATTTTTTCCAGAGAGAAAAGGAAAGGGGAGTGAGAGAGAGAGGGAGGGAGGGAGGAAGGGAGAGAGAGAGAGAGAGAAACATCGATGTGAGAGACCCCTGCACACATACTGACCTGGGCATGGGGAGTGAACCTGCAATCCAGGGACATGCCCTTTACCGGGAATTGAACCCGTGGCCCTTTAGTGCACAGGCCGACACGCTAACCACCGAGCTGACTGCCAGGGCACCACTATTACGCTCTTCAAAACATTTTGGTGCAAGCCTTCATTTAGAACCTTTACCAGAAGTAAGAGACCACGCTATACTCCGGCACGCTCCCTTTGGTCTGTGCGGAGTACTGTTAGACTTGAACCCAGCAGCGGGGGGTCTAGTGGGAGAGCAGCTCTAGATGACAGATCTGATGGTGAGTCCTTTGGGGGCTGCAGATCCATACAGGATGAGGTGGGGGGGCGGGCAGTCTTGGCCTGCTGGGGTTACCAGGCGCCTGGAGGAAGAATTATCATTATCCATTTTTCCGTGATAACATTTTAGTTATTGGTAATACTCAGCAGTGTGTGAGGAAATGTCTGTTCAGTAAGTGTATGTAGTTGGTTTATGATCAACATTTAAGTCTCAAGCTTCATGTAAACTATTCAACGTGTTTGTGTTTCAGAATCTTACATTGTGAGTTGTGCTTTATTTATTTGACATGTAAGACTTTCGTAAACCTTGACCTGTTCTCACTGGATTAGCACGATATGCTCCAGGTGCACACTGTCCTGCTTATCCGTGGGTAGACAGAGATGAGTGCAGGGACAGGGCTACCTATGTCCGTGGCATCTGCATGCTTTTCCTCCAGGTTAAGTCACTTCAGTTGTTTTTTTATTGTATTTTTGTTAATCCTCACCCAAGGAAGTTTTTTCCAATGATATTTTTAGAGAGAATATAAGGGAGGGAAGGGGGGTGGGAGAGAGAGAGAAAAACATCAATGTGAGAGAGACACATCGATTGGTTGCCTCCTGCACACACCCTAACTGGGGCCGGTGATGGAACCTGCAATCCAGGTACCCATGCCTTGACCCGGAATTGAACCCGCCACCCTTCAGTGCAGGGACTGGTGCTCTAACCACTGAGAACACTGGCCAGGGCTCATAATTTCTTATTTTGTCTCCTCTTGGAGGTTTGTTAAATTATTCACATTTATTATCTCTCCTAAATCTCCCCTTATCTTCAGGTACCTCCAAGTCTTGAAGCTTTAGATCAGGGGTCCTCAAACTACGGCCTGCAGGCCACATGCAAATACAAATATTGTATTTGTTCCCGTTTTGTTTTTTTACTTCAAAATAAGATATGTGCAATGTGCATAGGACTTTGTTCATAGTTTTTTTTTAAACTATAGTCTGGCCCTCCAACAGTCTGAGGGACAGTGAACTGGCTCCCTGTTTAAAAAGTTTGAGGACCCCTGCTTTAGATGGTCTAGATTCTCACTATTCAGTAGATACAGGATACGAGCCACATGTGTGATCAAAGTGTTCCAGTAGTCACTTAAAAAAAGGTGAAGGAAGATGGCAAAATCAGTTTTAATGATACATTCATTGAACCTGATATATCCAAAATGCTTTAATATGTAATCAATAGTTATTGAGATATTTTACTTTTTTCTTTTTGTAGTTAAGTCTTCAAAATTGGATAGTTGACCTTTAACTCGGGTTGGGGTGCCGGTACCCCATCCCACACAGAAATCTGCTTTTAACTTTTGACTCCTCAAAAACTCAACTGTAGTCGTCCCTTGGTATCCGAGGAGATTGGTTCAAGGACTCCTGTAGATACCAAAATCCAAAGATGCTTGTGTACCTTATATAAAATGGCATAGAACAATGCATACAGTCGGCCCTCTGCATGCATGATTTCCAGCCTTGGACCAGAAACACCGTTTCCGTCAGTGGTTGGTTGAATCCAAGGATGCTAAGCCTGTGGATACGGAGGGCTGACTGATTTATTGAAAAAAGTTTGCCTTCAGTTGAAAGGGTCAGTGTATTTACACTATGGCTCCTCTCAGTTCGGACCAGCCACACTTCCTGTGCTGTGGCCACACGTGGCTGTGACTGCTGCGTTGGAGGCAAGGGCTGGGGGAAAAAGATGAGTTAGGTGACTCTGGGGTATTTTGACAATGTTCCTGATTTATGCAGATTCTTTATAGTGTATTTGTTTGACTGTTATTTACTGGTCAGAACTATCATAGTCTTTGACTACTGGCTCAGTTTATGACTTTATCTTTTCCTGCTTGAGCTTTTTTTTTAAAAAAAATATATATATATTATTGACTTTTTACAGAGAGGAAGGGAGAGAGAGAGCTAGAAACATCGATGAGAGAGAAACATCAATCAGCTGCCTCCTGCATGCGCCTGCTGGGGATGTGCCTGCAACCAAGGTACATGCCCTTGACCGGAATCGAACCTGGGACCCTTCAGTCTGCAGGCCGACGCTCTATCCACTGAGCCAAACCGGTTAGGGTGCTGCTTGAGCTTTTATACTGGGGAGCTCGATGTGAGTCGTGCTCTGAAAACTGACAAAGGCCCTCCTGCCAGGCACGGAGGCAGCGCTCTCCTGCTGTGTCCTGCAGAGTGAACCACCGCACGTCTTTCCCATTTGTGTGTTTCCCATGCACATACTATTTCTGATATGATACTAGTGGAAACCTTTGACTCTTATTAAATTATAGAACTTTTAGTGAGTCCTCAGGAGTGTACTATTTCAGTGCATTTGCTAAGTTACGTGACTGATTTCTGCCAGTTGAGATGGGCGTGATATTTTTAATTTGTACGTAAAAGATGAGTCGGTTTTATATATCATGTTTTTTCTGATGCTGTGAGCTGCCCACCTTTTCTCCTAGTGAGGGAGATAGATAATCAGGAATTGAATATGACCCCCACAGACATGTTTGGTCCAGTAGAATTTTTTTTGTTTCTGGAGAACTAGCCCTGTCAGGAAAAGAAGATGAGTGAAGGTTGATTTCTTCTAGCTCCTCATATGCTGTGATTAGGGAGGAAGCTAAGAAGCGAATGAAGAATTCCTTCTTAATCTGCGTCTGTATCAAACGGCCTCCTCCCCTCCTTCCTGCGTGACGGAGTGTACACCAAGTCGTCGTCTGGAGTGCACATGTTCTCTTATGCCTAGGTTTTCTCTGGCCTGATCGCCCTGAGGAAAATCTGCAACCACCCTGACCTCTTTTCCGGAGGCCCCAAGACTACCAGAGGCATTTCCGATAATGAACCAGAGGAAGACCAGTTTGGACACTGGAGACGTTCTGGGAAGATGATCGTTGTCGAGTCCTTGTTGAAGATATGGCACAAGCAGGGCCAACGAGTACTGCTGTTTTCCCAGTCAAGGCAGGTGAGCAGACAACATTCACGCAGGAGACAAGTTGGTTCCTTACGGCTTATAATTCACAGTAGGGGGTATAATCTAGAGTAATGATCCCCTCAGCAGCTCCACCTGCTGATACTGGGTGGCAGCCTGCAAATCTCTTTGGGAGCTTAGATCTCTGTCTAGATTTGGCGCTCAGAAGTTGGCTTTTTAAAAAGGCTTAGTTACCATGTGATTCTGGGTTAGGGCCAGTTTGGGCCTGAACTCAAATAAATGCCCAGCTATTTACAAAACTTGTAAAAATTAACAGCAGAGAAATCCCTAAAATACTCGTAGCAATTTATGTCCCTCAAAGCAAGAAACCCTTTTAATGTGACTGTTGGGAAGGTGTGACTGCTCACACAAATGTGAAAGCACTCACGGGGTTGTGTGTTTAATTTTTAAACTCTTACCCCCCATCCTCTCTCCCAAACAGATGTTGGACATACTTGAAGTCTTTCTTAGAGCCCAGAAGTATTCCTATCTCAAAATGGATGGTACCACGACCATAGCTTCAAGACAGCCGCTGATCACAAGATACAATGAGGTGACCAGTGACTGACCAGTGACTGCTGCTGCGTGCAGAGGCAGGCGTGCCCGCACTGCCTGAGCGTGCGGGGTCTGGGGTGGGCAGCAGGGGGAGGGGGAGTTTTTGCTTTTAACTCTGTGCATTTCTGTATTATTGATGTGTGTGTCTATGTGCATGTAAAATTATTAATGTGTGTATATTTTTTCTTGAAAACCCAACTTTTACATATCAACTAATATTGCTATTAAGAGCAGGAGTGGTGAGATGGCATCTTTGACTGAGCAGGGTCTCTAGTCCACAGCCCATTCCTTATATCAGGGCCATGTTCCGTGGGTGGAATACGGGCGGTAGAGGTGACGATTCTCTCTGGTCCTAAACGTGCAACTCAGTGTTGTGTGTCTTACTCTAGGACACGTCCATATTTGTGTTCCTTCTGACCACTCGAGTGGGTGGCCTAGGAGTCAACCTGACAGGGGCCAACAGAGTCATCATCTACGACCCCGACTGGAACCCAAGCACCGACACGCAGGTCAGTTTATTTTTTAAAAGGAGTGTGTTGCTGACATAGTTGGTCCTTGAACAATACGGGTTTGAACTGCCTGAGTCCATTTATCTGAGGCTTTTTAAAAATAAGTATAGTAAATGTCCTTTATCTTCTTTCTGATTTTCTTTTCTCTAGCTTACTTTAATGTGAGGCTACAGTATATAGTACATATGACATACACAGTATGTGTTTACTGACTGTTTATATTACGAGTCAGCTCAGCAGTAGGCTGTCAGTAGTTAAGTTTTGGAGTGAGGTTACCTCGGGTTTTTGTGCGGGTCAGCAGTCGGTTCTGAGCCGCACCTGGGTGTCCTCAGGGCTCCGTGTTGCTGCTGGGCTTCGGCCTGAGGAGGACGCGCTTCTGTTTTTCGCAGCCTCATCACCAGGTCTGATAAAGGGAATGCTACAGACTCGTTGTTTTTCAGGTAGAAATAGCAGTCTCTCTGTCACTTGCCTGTTTATCTTCCTAACAGGCCTGAGGTGTGTCAGCCTCATTAGCCAGCACTCTGACTGGGAGTGGAGGGCAGCACCCAGCCACCTGTCTCTGTCAGTGCTTGTCGTGGGGAGGGACCTGCTGACACGTGCTCTCTCCGCAGGCCCGGGAGCGCGCGTGGAGGATCGGCCAGAGGAAGCAGGTGACGGTGTACCGGCTCCTCACTGCGGGCACCATTGAGGAGAAGATCTACCACCGGTCAGTGCGTGGGGCCGGCCCTCCCGCTGTGTGTGTGTGGGACAGACCCACCGCCGGGGCAGGCAGGCGTCTTTTGTAAAGCAATGGTTGCTATAACCTGAGGGAAAATGTGGTTTTTGAAATTTTTGTTTTGTCTTTATATTTTATTTTTCTAAAATAAGCCTTATTTTAGTTTTTTGAAATGGCTTATTGTGAGGTTTTGTAAAGATGTCTTTGAACGTGGTCATTGTCCTACTTTATTAAACTTCAAGGACTGCTTCTGTTTAAACTTCATCCTGTTATTTAAGAGGAATTTTCCTACCTACTATAGTGTGCCATCTTTTTTTCAGAAAAATTGTAAGACGTGACAGAATTAAAATGCTAACAGTATTGGTATTTACACATGGCATGTAGGTGTGACTGGCATGGGTGTTCTGTTCACTGTGGCTCAGGCGCCCCATAGAGGAAGGTTGACCAGGATACCTGTGTCTTCCTCCATCTTTCTCTCTGTGAAGAGGAGGGATTTGAGCAAGGAGCACTTTAGCAGTGGAATGGAGAGATGGCCAGTTCCGCCCGTGCTGGAGACTTTATTGAACCACATCCCAGCTCTAAAGGGAGGCCCCTGCTCTCCACCATGTGCTGGGCCATTGTGGGGCCGTGCGTGTTCTTCAGGGGCCTGGTGTGAGGGCTGGAGACAAGTCAAGTCCTGAGGGAGAGCTCTCCACTTAGAAACACATGTCTTAGCCTGAAGAATGAGCCACTGGGCGGGGCAGGGCTCCTTTATGGGGGGATCTGGGCAAGAGTGACGATGGCATGGTGCTTTAGTGTGGGGTGTGGCTCAGGAGGTGGAAGCTGGTGAGATAGCTCCAGGTGGAAACTTTGCAAAGCCCAGGTTGGGGTTTGCGGAGCCCGTCATCGGAAGGGGCCTGGTCCAGGAGTCAGGGGCTGGCTCTTTGCAGTTTAGACAGCCTGTGTGCCACTTAATTGTGTGGAAAAAGGTGTTTCTTGAAATGTGATGAATCTTGGAAATTGCAGAAACCCATGGGGTATAACTAATAACAAGGCATTATTTCTAACTTAAATTCTGTAAAACATGGGAGACCACCTGATGTTTTGTGTACTTCTTTTTTTTTAAAATATATTTTATTGATTTTTTACAGAGAGGAAGGGAGAGAGATAGAGAGTTAGAAACATCGATGATGAGAGAAACATTGGTCAGCTGCCTCCTGCACATCTCCTACTGGGGATGTGCCCGCAACCCAGGTACATGCCCTTGACCGGAATCGAACCTGGGACCCTTCAGTCCGCAGGCCGACGCTCTATCCACTGAGCCAAACCGGTTTCGGCTTTTGTGTACTTCTTGAATTGTAATTTCCAAGGCTAGAAGTTTTAGGAATTATTTAGACACCTGTACAGCTGCAGTTATCATGTCTCTCTTGTATTGTTTTATAATTAGGATTTTGAGGTAGAGCTAACTGTTGTTTCATACCAGTTACTTTCTATCTTTAGACAAATCTTCAAGCAGTTTCTGACAAATAGAGTGTTAAAGGATCCGAAGCAACGGCGGTTCTTCAAGTCCAATGACCTGTATGAGCTGTTCACTCTGACTAGTCCTGATGCATCCCAGGGCACGGAAACAAGTGCTATTTTTGCAGGTATTACAGAAGCTCGTTTAACTTGACAGAGTAAATGATACAAGAATTACAAAATGTAACATTAGTGTGTTTTTCCTTTTACAGGAACTGGCTCAGAAGTTCAGACACCCAAACGCCATTTAAAAAGAAAACTTCAGCTGGCCTTTGGAACAGACCATAACATTCCAATAGGCAAAATGTTCCCTGATTCTGATGCATCCGCCAGCGATGGCACAGCATCAGCAGAGAAATCCGCAGCTGTAGGAGCTGCAGTAAATGCAGCACCTTCTAATCAAGGTGACCCTGTGCGAGAGGCCCCTCGGACACCTGGCACTGGAGCTCGTGGTGACAGACTTGCTGAGGAGACAGACGCAGTGATTAGACTGGAGGACTGGCCAGTGCCGAGTGCAGAGGGGCAGTGTTCATGTTCTCCAGGAATCAGTGACACGGGCAGGACATCTGGTGGGGAAAGGATCGGTGAAAAGCAAGGTCTTTCTGATAAAAGAGAAAGCTGCCAGGTCCAAACTGAACCTCTTTGTGAGAATGGACAAATGGACAATAACTTCTGTAAGCACAAGTCGAAAACAAAACATAGTGTGGCAGAAGAAGAGACCCCGGAGACACTTTTGAGGCCAAAGCAAAAGCCCAAGAGCTCCAAGTGCCATAGAGACGCCAAGTTTGAAGGAACTCGAATTCCACACCTTGTGAAGAAAAGAAAGTACCGGAAGCAGGACAGTGAAAACGAGCAGGAGAGCAAGCAGCAGAACAATGATGACTATGTTTTAGAAAAGCTTTTCAAAAAATCAGGTAATCCACCCTGGCCGGTGTTCTCAGTGGTTAGTGTCGGCCCGTGCACCATAGGGTCCCGAGTGCCATTCCTGGTCAAGGGCATGTACCTGGGTTGCAGGTTCAATCCCTGGCTCTGGTTGGGGCGTGTGCAGGAGGCAACCAATAGATGTGTCTCTCTCACATCAGTGTTTCTTGCGCACGCTGTCTCTCTCTCTCTCTCTCTCCCGCCCCACACACATATATACACTCCTCCTCTATCCTTCCTTTCACACTATCTAAAAATCAATGGAAAAAAATATCCTTGGGTGAGGATTAACAAATAAACAGACAAAAAAGTCAGGCAATCCTTTGCTGAATTTGCCTGACAGACATGAGTAGGCCGTTTCTAGCAGTAGCAGCCTGGTGAGCTGGGGTCAGACATGAGTAGGCCGTTTCTAGCAGTAGCAGCCTCTGCTGACAGAGCTATCTACTGGAAGTAATTTTTTCTCCTAAAATTAAGATTTGAAATTTATTGACATTTTTGAAAATTTTATTCACCTCTCCCTTTTGAAGACCTAGGATTTGAAACTTTGGAGAACAATAGTACTTGACATAACCACTTACGGGAGGGGTGCAATGCTTTCAATGGACTTGTGCTATCAACGTTAATA